TCCAAGTTGAAGTCAGTATGTATATTAATGACAATATGGGACAAATATAATGTAATTTAGTGGCGGCAGGAGCTGCGCGCTGCCGGTACGTGTACAGTGAGACAAAACACCGTGCACAGTTATCAAAGACGCGAGTGCGCGTACACTCGTGGAAAATGATGTGTTCGGCAGTTAAAGACGCTGCGCGGCGCGTCTGTGGAGCGCGCGTCATGGGAAGCAATGTAGTAATTAAATAAAGAGGCAGGGCGGCGTTTCTGTTATTTAGTTTGTGACATCCTTTACGGGAAACGCCGGCGCAAGGCTGCTCACAGCGCTTGGTCACGTGTCGCACCAGAACCGTTTTCGGAACCGAAACTTAGAAATAGCTCACGGTTCCGGTTCTTTTCAAAAAACAAAACCAGTTCTCGGTTCCCAAACCTAGACGGGATATAACGCATCACGCACACTCAAGATTTCTCAAGAAATCCATCATGAACGTCTCTAACCTACACTAAACATTTCTTTCTTCCATGCAAAGCCAAAAACAAAACTCTACATACAGACGTCATGCAAAATGCTACTTGTTGGACAGGAATTTTCTCGCCACCCTGCTTACACTCTTAAAAATAAAGGATCTTTATTGGCATTGATGGTTCATGAAAAACCTTTAACATCCACAGAACCTTTCCATTGCACAGAAGGTTTTTTTATAGTGGAAAAAGGTTCTTCAGATTTATTAAAATGTTCTTCAAACAAGATAAATAATGACAAAAGTTCTTTCAGGAGCCACAAATTGTTCTTCCAATGCGCTGCTGTGAAAACACCCTTTCGGCTACTTTATTTTTAAGTGTGTAGGACAAGCAGTTTGGAAAATGGATTTACCTGTTCCCCCAACTACAAGACTGAAGATCGCTGCATTGTGCACAATTACAGACTCCTGAAGCGTGCACCTGGTGAAATACAACATTTGAAGACATCGCACAGAAAATCTGAGCATCTCGTTACTCAAAACATCCTTTTGTTAGCTTCAGTACGTATATTGTGCATAACTCATATGAGCAATCGTACCTGATCAATTCACTCCTACTCCCATTCTGAATACATTTCATCAAGCAAAAACAAATCAACCGAGCTCTAAAACAAGAGGAAACTGTGCTGGACATCTAGTAGACTAAATGATGCATGACGTAAAGCTGAGGATCATCTCACCTTCTAATAAATAAGTTTGTATGACTTCTCCACACATGTGAATTACTGAAAAATAATTCATACAAATAATTTTTATACTGAGCAACATTAAAGGGATGGTTCACCCAAAAATGTAAATTCTGTCATCATTTACTCACCCTTAAGTTGTTCCAAACCTGTTTGACTTTCTTCTGTTGAACACGAATGAAGATATTCTGAGCAATGTTGGTAACCAAACAATTGACGGTAGCCATTGACTTCCATAGCATGGAAACAGATCCTATGGAAGTCAATGGCTACCGGCAACTGTTCAGTTACCAACATTCTTCAAAATATCTTCTTTTGTGTTCAGCAGAAGAAATAAATGGATACATATTTGGAACAACATGAGGGTGAGTAAATGGTTTCATTCTTGAGTGAACTATCCGTTTAATCTGGTGAATTATACTAGGAATGATCAAAACTACAAATATGCACTGACTGTATCAACTTACGTAGTAATCTCAATTTTGATATTTCAGAGTCAACTGATTCAACAAAACTGGCCGTTCCTCCTGCCTGTTGTGTTTGCTCACATTATGTATGTATGTTTATGAATGACATTACCACATGTACCATGGTACTGAAATGGAAAAGTGTTACCATCTTGGTTATGTCCAAAACAAAACATGGTATTATCTCAGTACTTTTTGTGAAATATGATAAACGCACCTGCTATCTAGGTAGATACTACAACTTAGTGAGCGTTTAATATGTGTAAACAGAGACTTGCATGACACCTTGACATGTTAGCCCAAAAGAAGTATTAAGTCCAGTTCACACCAGGAACGATAACGTTCTGTTTATTTACAAATAAGCTCTTTAACGTTAGGTGATTCTGATTGGCTGTCAATGTTTTTACAGTTCATTAGATGGAGAAAAAAACATATCGTTCCTCTGTGCTATAAACACTACAGTTGTGAAGTGAGATTAGAACGATTATTAAAACTTTATTGTTGTAGTTATCGCTTTACTTCTTGTACTTGGTGTGAACGACGATTTAAACGGAAGAACTCTGTTCTGATGAGTTTTAAGTCTATGAGGGTTTTAATAATAAGCGCGCCACACGACGCGACGCATCTAGAACGCCGTCGTTCAAATCAACGTCTAGTGATTAGAACGGCACCGTTCTGCTTCTCACGAGTCAGTGTAGTCACGTTTTAAGTGAAGAATTACCCATTACCCTTTCACTGACTACTTTTGTGAGCTTTACTAGCGATACACAGAGACACACATCGATACATGTTCCATTTAAAGCGTTCAAACGCCAGTCACTTACCCGTTAATCCCTCGCGTTCATTCAATACGACGAAACAGCACTGGTCCTCGCTGTAGGTTTGCGTTCTAGACGCGTTGTGGCGTTTTTGTCCCGTCTTCGATGATTTGGAGTGGATATTTACCTCACACTATAGCTTAATTAATTAGCCTGTGGCGGCTAAGCGAACGCGAGCTAAGTCAAAATGACAATCGGCCGCCTCACGAACTCGTGAGCGCATTACTACCGCTCAAGATGGGTTAGGTGAACATGTTTAAAGTGATAACCCACCGAGCCCCCCGGTAACCGAATAACGACAGCCCGCTGCCGCTTAACGCCGTATAATCGCCTCCAAGCACGAGCTCGCGGCAGCTCTCTGTCAACAGCGCGCAGCGATCAAACAGAACTTGAGTGGGCGGGGCCGTGACGTCAGAGGTGAACCTTACAAAAGGACCCCAGCAAAACACAGAGTTTGAGAAACAAGCGGCATCTGAGAACAACGCGCGTCCTGATCTGCGTTCTTATGCGTTCGTGATCAGCAAACGGAGGAATTAAATGAAGGGGGAGCACTGAAACAAGAAGGCTGTCTCTTTTTGTGCTTTACGTCACAGTTCCATGTGTTTGTGCTTACAGGAAACAGAAGATGGCGCTGTCGGCATCGTTTCAGTTTCGGATGAATATGCAAACAAGGGTTTAAAAATAGCCGATTTTGCATATGATGGTTAAATATTGTAATGCTCAGTTGCAATTTTTTCTGTAAGAGTAAACCTCAAAATCACTGTCTGTCTGTCTATCTATCTATATATATATATATATATATATATGTGTGTGTGTTTATAACCACTTTTATATTTTTACAAACCAAAGCTTATATTTTATCTATACTTTATATCTCTTATATAGACTATATATATATATGTGTGTGTGTGTGTATACAGTATGTGTGTATAAATATGTGTGTTTTTATAACCACTTTTATATTTTTACAAACCAAAGCTTATATTTTATCTATACTTTATATCTCTTATATAGACTATATATATATATGTGTGTGTGTGTGTATACAGTATGTGTGTATAAATATGTGTGTTTTTATAACCACTTTTATATTTTTACAAACCAAAGCTTATATTTTATCTATACTTTATATCTCTTATATAGACTATATATATATATGTGTGTGTGTGTGTATAGTATGTATGTGTGTATATATATATATATATATGTGTGTGTGTGTGTGTGTATACAGTATGTATGTATGTGTGTATAAATAACGACTGGTTGCAATCGAGGGAAAGATGAATGCGGCCAAGTACAGGGATATCCTGGGCGAAAACCTTCTCCAGAGTGCTCAGGACCTCAGACTGGAACTAAGGTTTACCTTCCAACAAGACAATGACCCTAAGCACACAGCTAAAATAACGAAGGAGTGGCTTCTCAACAACTCTGTGACTGTTCTTGAATGGCCCAGCCAGAGCCCTGACTTAAACCCAATTGAGCATCTCTGGAGAGACCTAAAAATGGCTGTCCACCAACGTTTACCATCCAACCTGACAGAACTGGAGTGGATCTGCAAGAGGGAATGGCAGAGGATCCCCAAATCCATGTGTGAAAAACTTGTTGCATCTTTCCCAAAGACTCATGGCTGTATTAGATCAAATGGGTGCTTCTACTAAATACTGAGCATTTTTCAGTTTTTCTTTTTTAATAAATTTGCAAAAATGTCAACAATTCTGTGTTTTTCTGTCAATATGGGGTGCTGTGTGTACATTAATGAGGAAAAAAAATTAACTTAAATGATTTTAGCAAATGGCTGCAATATAACAAAGAGTGAAAAATTTAAGGGGGTCTGAATACTTTCCGTACCCACTGTATGTATATGTATATATATGGTGGCTGGCATGGTGTATATTGGCTGCTGTACAAAGCAAATATAAAGCAATATTCTTATTTGTAATTTCACAAAATATATAGCATATATTTTATATTTAACATTTATGCTCTTATGTAGTATTATAAGAGTACACTGAAAAACGGTTACACTTTATTTTAAGGTGTCCTTGTTAGAGTGTAATTATACATTGAAGTACTGAGTAATATTAATTAACTACATGTACTTACTATATGGTTAGAGTTAGGATTAGGGTTTGTCTTAGGGTTACTTGTACGTTATTATGCATAATTTATTGTTAATATAATAGGAAGTGCATGAAACTTGTAACAAGCACACCTTAAAATAAAATATTACCAAAAAAACTATTGATGTAGAAACCATTTTCACTCAGAAATTGCGAATACATTTCACAAATAATTACAAAGAAACCGCAAGAAGCACATTGAATTAGATGTGAAATTCTGAAGTAGAAAAACTGTAAAAGTTCTCTAATAATCTTTATTTTCAACTTCAAAAAATAATTGTGATTATGCTGGCATTGTGTATATTGGCTACTGTACATAAAACAATTGCACAATATTCTATTTACATTTTCACAAAACAGCTTATATTTTATAATAGGAGTATTGTAAATATGCTGGCATGGTGTATATTGGCTACTGTATAATCAACTTTTTTATTAGGAGAACATACATGCATACATACTGACTCTATGCATACGGTGCATTCTAATGTTTCAGTACTTTTCTACAAAGCAGAGTCTAAATTAGACATTAGATTCATATTGTTCATGATTTTACATTTAAAACAATGACAAATAGTGTTTGCGTAGCCTATCAGTCAAATCAAAGGGCTGGAGCTTGTGGTTTTTCCGCACATGTTGAGTGCATGATCACGAGCGACGTGCAGATCCACAGACCTGGCCTATGTTCAGTGCGTGTGTCCTATCTGTCACTTGTTGATCTTTCTTCTTTTTCTGAGGTCAAGAACATCCAAATGAAGCACAGAATGAACTCACGCTTCACTCTCACCTTTCTCCTATATATAGTGTGACCTCAGCAGATCAGACTGTACCATTAGGTCTATTTCTTCTCAAACACGGAGCGCTTTAGGTCATTTTGTGGGGTTATTTTCACAATCTTGGGTATTTTTGTGCAACTCATCTGCTGGATCAACCTGGCAAACTGATGCGTTACTATCTAGTGCGCTGGATAAAACTAGATTGGTTTGCCAACGGTTGTTTTGTCTCCTGTTAAACCTCGTGCATTGCTCACTAGTTACTGTAGAGTCAGAAATGTTACTTTTTTCAGTTCAAATTTAAGTTTTGTTTGTAAGCAATATGAAAATGATGCACCATTCTAATGAACATGAACTGCAGTTTGTTGGAGGTTAGGAACTGAGATGTAGCAATTTATGAAAAACCTTTGAACATTGTTACTTTGTTACATCGTGTGGAACACGCTATCGATTCCAAAAATTACTTGTAAGAGTATATTACATTTTAAAATGCTCATGACAGATTAGTTACGTTTTACATATTGTAATTACATGATTAAATAATTTTTATGATTTCATAAATTATTAGCTTTATATCCACTCTCAAACCCACTTCAGTTCTTATAAACCCAGTTTGGGAAACACTGGTGTAATGTAATGTTTAATGCACTTCATGATGTTGATATTTGAAAAAAATTATGGAATATATGTTTTATATCAATACGGTATACTTTAATGGATAGTTTAAAACAAGTATGATAATCTAAAAGTAATCAGAATACATTACCAACCTATTACGCTATAACTGTTTTCACCATGTAATCTGTAATGGACTATACGTTTTTGTAATCTACCCAGTGCTGTGAACTATATCTTTGTTCTGACCATCAGAATGTTCAGATTTTGTAATCTGTAAATATTGGGGTAAAATCTGCTGATAGACCTTAGAAATTTCATCAAGCAAATGGCTTATGATCCTTATGATATTTTTGAGTCATAACATTTACATGAAGAAGTTTTTGTCTAAATACATTGTGTTTTTTACCTTCAGCAAATATAAAATGTTCTGTATAAGTTCTCAATCTCCCCTAATAAAAGATAAGATGTCAATTACGCCCATCTGTGATCCATTTTATTGTGATGGAAGTATTGTGGCATAATAGTTGTCTGTGAAGAACCTAAAAAGCGTGTATTTGTGAGGTTATGTTTGTCTGAAATGATCAAATTCCACATTTAAATATAACCAGAGGTGGACAGTATAGTGAAGTATTTTTACTTTACTCAAGTACATTTAAAAGTATCTGTACTTTATCAGAGCGTTTTCTTTGGAAAACCTTTACTTCACTACATTCCGAAGCATAATGTTGTACTTTTTACTGCATTTCATAAATAAAAGTTGGTGTTTGTTTTACCTTTAACACGTAAGAACATTAAAAATTTAGTACTTTCTTGTACTCGAGTAAATCTTTGAATTACCTTTACTTGAGTAAAAGAAAGTAAGTACTAGATTTCTAATGTAATTAAGTATTAAATGATATTTAATATGAAACGTAGTGCAGTAAAAATGCTTTGGAATGTTGTGAAGTAAAGTTTTCTAAAGAAAAACACTCTGATAAAGTACAGACAAAGCAGAGTACGAATACTTCACTATACTGTCCGCCTCTGCATATAACCTGAGAGACAAAATAAACCAAACCAAAGCATTTAATGGAATGTGTTATTCACCGATGTGGCTAAAAAAGACGCGCTCAAAAAAGAAGTCAGAGTGTTAAAGGTTATCAGGACACATTTGGTACAGCAAACATTTAGTGGCATCACAACATGAACGAGAATACAAAAGATTCCTAAAACTTCAGGTACCATTTTTTTAAAGAATTCTGAGGTTATCCAAAGTAAAATACCAGACGAAGAAACCGACTTTAACAAATAAAATCAAACTTTAATAAAAGAGAGGACAAACGACAACACAACATGCATACATCATCGAAATCGAATGTATTTATATAGGCCTATGCAACATGACATAACCCATGCACAGATGTCATAACGCGCCGGATCATTATTGTCTGGTCAGTGATCTCCATATGAACCACTAGACGGCGCCTGCGCACTGCGAGTCTGAGCCGCTTACAGCATCTGTGATGGTCAGATGTCACGTGGGTTCATTGTCTGTGTCAATTAATCACCCTCAATTACACCACATGCCCATGTAGTGATGAAGATATTGTTCATATATTTTCCTGTTGCTTTTTATTTGTTTCTCGTGCTGCCCACATATTGCAATATTCAGTATAAAAGTAGCATTTTAGACATTGCATACTAGTTAGTGTTTAAGTCACTAAACAACGGGAGACACGGTTTAAAAGCTCGAAACCTGATGCACAAAATCACTGCCAGTTTGAACATTTCACCACTGAAAAAAATCGGGGAAAAAAATGGCAAGTAACAAAAAATGGCAAGTAACGCTAAATTAAACTTGAAATAAAGTAGAAAGACTATAAACCTTGTATTATTTACCACTTCAAAAATTATTTTTTTAGTGTATTCGCACTATTAAACTGTATGATAG